CCCTATGCTTCAGCAACCTGTCAGGTGAAAGTAGTATGTTGGGGGTATTGGTAGCCAGTTTGGTAACTTGCTGCAGAAGATGGCCCAGGAGTTTCACAGGATCTATACCATGGTTTCAGTGACTGATGGACACTGCATTTGGGTACCACCAGATCCAGCAGTCCTGCTAAGTACAGGACTGTTGCTCCATATACCTTGTCTCTTTTCCTTCTCATTTTAAGCGCTGGCTGATCCATTACTGTTGTAAATGTATCCTTTGTAAGATTGTATGGATCGTGTAGCTAATATGAATGCAATTACTTCACAGTAGATAGAAACTGTTTAATGTGTCTATTTTAGGAAAATAGAACATCTAATGATTTTGTGATTCTCAAACTTTAGAAAAGGGTGACAAGACAGAAAGCTAATAGAAAGGTATTTAAAGATCCTCTGCTGAAATTACAGCATGAAATGTGAAAAGGTTTTATTGCAGGGGCTTCTCATGCAGCACTCTGACATTCCAAAAGTGTTGCATGTGCTATTTAACAATTTAAGTGACCCTCTGTTCTTGAAACACATGTTATGAGAAGAGTACTCTGGGTACATTTCTGACTCTCACTCTTATTTTGTCTGGCTATATATAAAAGTTTTCCACTGAATTGGAAAAAGAGTGTCTGAGATAGGATCACTCTAGTATGAGAAAATTCCAAGCAAGTGACAACAAATTAGCTTGCTTTTTCTTTTGATAGTAGTGATTCCCCAGAAAAGATGACAAGTGGTTTATGGAGTATTCGTGATAGCGTTCCTGCAGTGAGGCCGCCAGAGCTCTAGGAGAAGGTGGCAGTTCCACAACCACAGATCGTGATCTTTTGGAAGCACTTGTGTGTAGGAGTTCCTGCTAACTTTGTTTGGAAACCTTTTCCTGGAGATTTTGTCAGGAGGAAATGGCCTGTAGTCAGCATCAGCTACTTTGTTGCAGAAAACCATGCAGTTTGCTCTAAATTGAATTTGCACAAAATGACACCACTGTCAGAATAGTGCCCTTTTTTTTTTGGGGGGGGGGGGGGGGGGGGGGTTTGAGGGGTATTCTGGTAATGCAGTTTTTTATGTTTACTTAAATTTTTGTCCAAAGGAATACTATGATAAAGCACAAATCTTTATTTCAATCAAAGAGAAAATTGATTTTGTTTCTCTCTCTCTCTCTCTTATCCTTTTCAGCTTTAATCAAATACATTCGTCCAGTGTTTGTATCCCGATCAGACCAAGATTCTCGCAGGAAAACTGTTGAGGAAATAAAAAGACGTGCTCAATCTGGTAAATGGCCACAGGTACTGTATACAGCTACAGTGTGACAAATGATATTTGGCATCTACAGGCTTTGGATATGCAGTTCAATCTGTTTCCCTGTAGAATGTTTCAGATGGTTTATGGGGGGGTCGATTCACCTTCCTCTGCTTCTAAAATACACAATGCAATTAATTTATCTGAGCAAAATATCTCTAACACCAGCTGTTCATCACAGGACATTGCAAATGTGGATATGTACAAGTACATGGAAGAGAGTTCTGTTAAGTGTTATTTAAATGGACAAACTACATCATTTTAAGGAGATACTTTAAGATGATCATCAGCGGCTTAGTAGATTACCTGGGGGAGTATCTGTTCTTGCGCTTATTGAGGTTTTGGCTTAATGCCATCGTCATAGCTTGCTAGATTAGAAAGACCCAAGCAATACATGTGCTCCAGTAAGTGGAGTACGCTTCTGCTGGAACAAGCATTGAAAACATTTCAGAAAACAAGCAGCTCGGACTTCTTTAACCTGAAATGTGATTATTTAGAATGCACTTTTGAAGGGAGTAATGGGAAGAAAGCAATGACTATCTCAGTGTCTAAATTTTCTATAAATAGGTGATCATTTTGAAAACCTGAAGCACTCTTCTTGGAAACTTTCACGAGATTAAGATACTGCATTGTTGTCTCCGCTTACTTTGTTGTTATTACAAACATTATGGTAAAGGTTAAAGGAAAATATCCAGGAAGTCAGTTTCAGAGTGGTCAATAAAACCAATATCTTTAATTCTACACCGTTGCTTTGTCCCTTTCTAATATGTATGTATTTCATTTCAATGTAATATTCTGCAGCTAACCAAACTTTAAGCAGTTTTTCAGTTTTGCTAGCCAAAAAAAAATTTCTTGTAGTGTATCTGTTCCGAAGTTTGTTCATCTGGAGGATTTTTTCTCCTTATTAGAATTCTGCTTGAATTTCTTGCAACCTCTATCATTCTAATGTCCGTGCATGTACCCATGTGCTTGGGAGGATGAGTTTTGTTTTGGTACACAGTGAAAAAGAGTGTGTTGTGTGTGTGTTTGTGGGTTTTTTTTCTTTTTTTCTTTTCTCCACTAACACCAAAACTCTCCGTGAAAATTCTCTTGAACTTGCAAGTTTATCCCTGTCAGTGTTCTGGTAAAGTAGAATTGTTATCAGAGGTCATGAAAAAGGCAAATTCCCATGTAAGAAAAATATTTTGACTAGTTAGTACTTTGACTTCTTTGAGAACTGTTCTTTAACTTGGCGGCTTTTCTCAGAAAGCCTTTCCTGTAATCCATTAACATTATCTTTGAAAAGATGTGTTTATTAATAAATTCACATGAAATATTTATATTTCTTAAAAGTGTGTTTTTTTTTTTTTTTTTTTCAAGATAATGATATTCCCAGAGGGCACTTGCACAAACCGATCCTGTCTAATTACATTTAAGCCTGGTAGGTATGATGTTCATTTCTGTGTTCTCTACTGTATTGTATGCCACTTGCATTGTAATTTGTTCACTGTTGCAGATGTTGAGTTAAATCTTGCAGTAGGACAGAAGCAGAATTTGAGTAGATTTTTTTTTTTTTGATGCTGCAAAAGGCATATAGTTTCACCATTATCTGAACCAAATTTTTGCATAATTCAGATTTTTTTCCCCCTCTTGTCTTTCAAGATTCATGAGCTACAGGACTAATGGTTTGCCTTACTGTGTTTTCTTTTCTTTATCCTTTACTTTCCTATTTTGGGATCAGTCTTCGAACATTTAGGTATTGTGTACAGCTTAAGGTTTCAGTGTCTATCTGTTTGTGTTGCTGCAGCATTTGATTCTGGCTAATCCTCTGGTTGATTCATGTGTTCTAATTAGACAGAGCTGTGAACTCTTCTGTTGAGTTACATTCCAGTGAAGACAGCATGCGACTTTTTAGATGAAATAGTTCTGTCTGTGGCAGAGGCTGTCTTTTAAGATGTTTTATATAAAAGCTTCACCTTTTAAGCTGTTTATCGTTAGTAGTGCTGTTTCTGCTTGTCCAGTGAGTGTGAGGTGAACTGAGCATTTTTGCCCATATAAGCTGCATAACACTGAAGATCGCTAATTCTGCGGCGTACGGCCGATGTTTGATACAAACTCACCTCGGTGGTGTAGGTAGGGAGATGGTGAGCGAGCAGGCTGCAGTGAGTCAATTCTGAACCTGCTTTTGACTCTTTCCAGGTTTCTGCCTAGCCCATCGCATTCTGGTCTTATTGTGTGTCTTAGATTTTTATATTGCTTGGAACTTGTCTCTATTGGGATTTCATGCAGTGAGTCAACATTGTGGTTCCTTGCTTGGAGTCTTGCTTGTGGCTCATTTGGCTGAAGGAATCTGTGTTGTATCCTGAACAAATATTCAAAAAGTCTTTCCTTGTCCTGTGTCAGTTCTTAACTTTTGGATGAGTGAGTGATGGTTAGGAGAACATCCACTTCTGTCATTCCACCTTCAGCTCTTCATTAATGTCTTGATTTCCTGCTCTCTCTCTGTTCCATAGACATTCCATCCATCGAATGCCATTGGATGCTTTCTATCTCAATTATCCAGCATGCCTCTACCTTCTACTTCTCTGATCTAGCCCATGCTGCTACCTGCCTCTTGACTCTCTGATTTTTTTCTGCTGGAACCTGCTTCTCTGTCCATCCAGTATCCCAGAAATCCTTTGCCTCAAAATTCCTCCCTACTTGAGTAACTGCTTTCAGAAAGCCTTTCTCAGTTCTGCCTGTGACCTGTATTCTTTGTTCTTTTTGTGTTCTGTGTTCATGCAAACTAGTTGTTAAGGACAAACTGTTCAGTTTGGTATAAATGGTGTTTTAGTTTGATGTTGTCATTGACTGTTCAGTCAGATTTTGTCATCTTCAGGCTCTTTCAGAAGGTTACTTAGGCCATTGTTCTTTGAGACTGAACAGAAAATGCCACTGGGCCAAGAACTAAATCTCAGCAGGATCCCTGTGAGACAACCTTCACGTAAAGATGTTTGCACCACGTTAATAGTTATTCTTTTTTACATCTTGCAATTACGTGTTTCCTAAAGCAAGTGAAGTATTGATCATACAGTATTCCTGTATTATTCAGGCCTAAGTTTTAATAGGAATGTGTTCAGAGAAATGTGGAGCAAGAGAGTTGAGTTATGCACACACCGAGTCCTGGTGCTAAAGCCAAGAAAAAGGTTAGCAATGACCTGGGTAGATGTTATGCTACCTAATTATTAAAGCCATAATTTTCATTAAAAAATGAAGTAATCCTTCTGCATTTTAACTCTAGTCCTGTGCATTATAACTATTGGATTTTCTAATACTGAGAATAAACAAGGAAGCCCTTTGGAAGGGAAGTAAGGTACAAAAAGGAAAGAAGTGAAATTCATTACTTCAAAGATGTTGCCTTAAAATAGCGTTGCTCAACTACATATACAGAAGTTCATTCTATTACAGAAGAAAGCTTAGATTCTTCACCAAAAAACTGTGGTGATTATTGACAGTGTATTGAGTTATTATCTTTCATGTACTCATTTTTCTTTGTTCTAATAATGATTTGAAAGTCTGTAATACTGAATTGAATAATCCAGTTGGATTTGGTGATGGGCTTTCACTTGTATTCATAACAGTTTATGTAAGTGATAGAGGATAATTTAGAGAATGTACAAAGCATTCGTACTTATCTTCTGCAAAGGTGGGTGTATGTTGTTAATCCCCAGAACCTGTTTTTCTTTTTTTAATTCTTGATTACTTTTTAAACTACTTTCAGATTTTATTCTTTCACTATGAACAGTTTTCAGTATTAATACCACACCATTTTTGACATAATTTTTTATTCATTGCGATATATTTTTCTGCACAAAAATGTGCTATAAAGTAGTGACAAGATATATGTGCCTTCCAGGAGCGTTTATCCCAGGAGTTCCTGTGCAACCAGTGGTTTTACGTTATCCAAACAAACTGGTAAGTTCAGCTTATTTCATAATACTATGGACTACATAGTGTTTGTAGTCAGAATACATTTTCTTCCACATTCTTTTCTGTGACCTCTTAGATTAGATCTCCAGATTTAGAATTTAGAAAGTGTTGAAAACTGCTTTTTGATTGAATATTCGTTCCTTAAGCATCTAGCAGTATAAAAATACTTGAACAGTTTAGTTCTGCTTTAAGTTTCTATTTCAAAACAATGCTCTGAAAGTTAATCAGGTTGTAGCAAGTATTGTGTGTTTGCTAAGCATAAAAAAACAAGACAGAAATGTGAAATTTCTCTTGGATTTGTGTCCAGAGGTGTTCCCTATTAATAGTCTTTAAGTTGCAGAATTTTTTCTTAGCATGATTTATTGCTGGAAGATGCTGCTGCCTGCTGAGGTATATTAGTCATAAAATTACAAAATTTTAACAATTACAAAATTGAGGAGCTTGTCATTTTATAAAGTCTCGCTGGCTTTGTTTTAGGTTTGCTGTGTGCTTGGGTGAGGATACTAGATGCTAGCTACTTTGAAATAGTCCTTCAATATAAGTAAAGTGCAAATTAACACTTGAATTTCTACTATTTAAATTAGAAAATTGTTTCAAATTCTTGTGAAGATATGAGCAAAGCTCACCTGATATCTCAAGATGTGAGGCCTACAAAAAAGCAGAGAAGAAGGGACTTTGTTTAGCTGATGTGTTGTAGATACTTTTTTTCCTATTGCTGCAGGAATCCCATCTTTCTGCATTCCTCAGGTAATTAGAAGAAGATGCTTTCTGGCAAATGGTGCTAACTTTCATAGTCACGCTGTTTTTCTTGTTTTTATGTTTAACTTTTGAACCCTATGGGAGTTCTTTTGGGTTCAGTCTATCCCCCTTACTGAAATGAAGTCCTTTGAGGGCAGGTTGAGAGTATTGTCAAAACTGAAATAGGGACTGTCTTGCCTCTTTGGTGATGCCTATTACAACAGAAGATGGCATTCCCTCTCCTTGACTGGCCTGTTCACCACCCCTTGACCTTAGAAGGTATGCAGTTTCCTCTTTGTACCTGAGTGCTTATGTTTTAACTGTTTCCATCCATTGATCTTTCTGTTAATTAATATATAACATATGTTTAATCTTAAAAAAAAAAAAAAAAAAAAAAAAAAACACAATCTAAACAAAGATAATATGCAGCGTTCAGCACTGGTCCTTGATTAAGACCAGATGCGATGACAGACTAGTTGGTGGTAACTTCTGTAGGGAGTACTGAGTACTGTAGCCTCTGGCTATTTTGCCTAATACGCACCGTACCGATTTATATATATGTGTGTGTGTGTGTATATATATATATTTATATATTTATATATATAATGCATAGAAATTGCTTTGTATTCAGAAAAACAGATTATTTCTAACTTTTTTTGGCCTGTCAGTTTAAAATGCAAATTCACATTTAGCTCACATCATACTTAACTAAGAGTAACAAGGCATATTATTACACTTAAAATAATATAAAACTGTCCAAAGTTATCAAATGTTAACTTTGCATGTATATTCAAAAATATTAATATATTTTTATACTAAAATGTTCTTATATTACATAATATGCAGTTTATACAACAATACATGGAAATCATTATAGCTTTCTATGAACTTCATAACTTTTTTACATTTTTGCAAAATGTCTTAAATAGAAAGTGTTTATATAGGTGTCCAGCAGATGACCTGGATATGTAACTGGTAGGATAATCAGCCCACACTTTCTCACTTTTGCTGCTTATAATTACCGTAAAAGACTTCTATGTTTAAATGATCGCTATTCATATTTAACTTCATATTAGCTCATGGTCTGTAAAAGAGATGTAGCAAATGTAGCGGAATGAGGAAGGACAGGTTTGATGGGATATATGGAGGTTAAAGTTCGGTTGGTTAGTATGCATTTAGGAGGTGGTGAGTTGAAAGGGCGGGGGGGAGAGTGTTTTGTTTTTATAGCCTGAGACAACATTTTTAGCAAATAGGCTTTTTTTTTTTTTTTTCCTCTGAATCCCTGTCTTCCTGTCTGTCCTGTTCAGCCAATCTACATTCTAATTTTAGGTTTAGAAACAGATGTTCTCGCGATGATTTTCTTTTAACTCATGTGCATTCACTCCCCTGCTCTCAGCTTGAACTAGCTGCTCTGTCCTAGCTTTAGAGCTCTGACTTCCAAACTAGGGATCAGAATCAGCTTGGTGGGGCGTATGTGTGTGTACAGGCACCTGACATTTTGGGGAAGCTTCTGGAGAGTAGAGCCTGGGTGAAAGCAGTAGCTGTGTGCACTCTTGTGCACTTGTTGCCTTGTACTCTCTACAATCAAGAGCATGGTAAAAAAATTTGCAGTTGGGTGATGTCTGTATTCTATCCAAGGGAAATGCTCTAAAATATGTGTGAGTGGTAGGTTGTACAGTCATTCATTGTTTCACAGTCCCTTCATCGTGCACATATTCTTCTTACAATATTCTGACAGAATACTAGAATACTGGTATTTAAGGAAGTCTATAATCTTGTCTAAGTATTACAGATCCTCTTTAAAAGTATTGGATGTCAAAGTCCTCGACAATTAACTGCAGTGATTGGTGTGAGGTTTGGAAGCCTCTTTCTTGATTCACCCTTGGGATATTAAGGGTTTATTGGCTGTGTATTCGTATGTGCCGATTCTCACTGTGTTGCAACATGAGCTTCATGTTGGAAGATGGGTGTGATTCTTGGTATCTCCGTGCATCGAATGCAAATTTTTTAGAAGTTCCATAATAAAGTTCCATAATTACAGACCATGAGGTAATTTATTATGTAGGTACAAAAGTTTGATAGTATTGTAAGTATGCTTTCCAAGCAAGTGATGTCCATGAGCCTAAACTGACAGCAGTGATAAATGTAAAAGGCATCTGAAGTAGGTATAAGTAATAACCACTTTCCAGTTCCTGTTTTCTCTTTTTATCATGAAAATATTGGATACATTAGCAGGAGCTTATTACGAAGCACTTATAGGAGAGTCCTGTTTTCCACAATGCAGAACTTAGTGTTCATCCATCTTACACTCTAATGTTGCAGGTGAGAAAGAACATGTGTACCCATTAGAACTGGGCAGTTCTCACCGGGTTGTTATGTGGCATAGTTGAGTTCCTCATAAGAGAAGCCATGCCAGCTGTTCAGCATCATGGCTGGGATTCTAAAAACATTCTCCCTGTTTGTTTTTTGTTTTTTTTTTTAAAAAAAAAAAAAAAAAAGAAAAAAAAAAACTGTAGGCATTTATTTAGGTTCTACAAGAGTAGTGGGAGAAGAAAACTGTTTTCATTACACCATTGTTGATTGCTGGAGATGGAAGCCCTCTATCTCATGATACTTAAGATAGCTTAAAAGTCAAAAGTGAACTTCTCAGTAGACCTTTCTGCTATATTGAGCTTATTCCAAGCTGTGGTTCTGTTGCATTAATCATGCAACACATTTTGGGGATGTGTTGCTTTCATTTTATTTGTGACGATCTTCTGCTCAAAGAGGTAATTCAAATATGAGTTAAACATAAGTTTCAAGATCTTGGTACATGTGATCACATGAATGGTTTTGGATGGTGTCATGGAACTAAATGATCACAAGAATGTACCTTTTCTTTTAGAAGCTTGATTTTCATGAGCCCTTTTGTATTTCCATTAATGATTTTACACTATTTTCCCAGTTGATCAGAACAATAACTTGGAAAGCTTGGCGTTCATCTTGTGGTTTTTGCTTTGTTGAACAAATCTCGTTTCCACTAAATATTACAAGCTTTTTCTTTTTTTTTTTTTTTTTTTTTTTATTTTTTACCCTGTTTCTTAGAGTTAAAAGTGTGATGGCCTGTATGTCATCTTCTTTCTTGTCTCTTATTTACTCTCCAGATCTCTCTTGATGATCATGTCATATTCTAATCTTTCATAGCTATTTGCTCTCTTCTAGTGTTTTACACACATTTTTAACAGTTCTTAAAAAGTCTCTTAACCTTCTAGTCTCTTTCAAAATCCTTTTATTACAATAGAAATTTGTCTAGACTTCAGAGGTAGTTGACAAACTTTAATTTCTGTGTAATAGAATGGAGAATAAAACCCTTGCCAGGCATTCCCATTCAGCTTGTTCAATTCTCTTGTCTGAACAGGATCATAACTCTGGATTATATCAAACATTTCTACCAGACTTTGGAATTAGGATTGTAAAGCTGTTTATTTTTGCTATGCAAAAGAGTTGCTGGTGTTGCTTGAGAGCAGTTTGGTGACTTCGATAATGCAAACATATGTTATTGTTACTGGATACATTATTACTACCTTTGACCATGGTACCATGGACCTTTGACTCTTGGATCAGATGGATAGATGAATGCCTGCTGTGAGAAAAGTGAATGGGAGAAATATATTTTGAGATAAAACAGATAAAGTCTTACGGGTCCCACTGACACCTATCAGAAGGGAAGACTTCCTTGGCATTATCTCTGCAGATCCCAAGCACTTCACAGGTGTCTCAGTGTTCATATCTGTTGCTGGAAGGTTCAGGAGACCGAGGTCCAACGGTCAGGGAGGTTAAAGGGCTGCCTTGTGTAGCTGAGTGAGTTAGAGAGCAAGCATGGGCTTATACATCCAAAGAACATTGGTTTATGTTTAAATAGCATTATTTTCTATGATTAACAGCGTTTGAGAAATCCATGCATCTTTGTGTACAATGACTATAGATATTTTGTGGTTAAGACATGGATTCTAGGGTATTTTCTAGCTTCATAAAAGGTAGGTTGGTTCCTACTGTAATTGGCTTACTCTTAATAGGACTAAGAACCTCTGTAAGTAGAGCGTCACAAGTTTCCATGAAGACATCATGCTCATGTCATCATACTATATATAAGAAAAATTTAAAGTATAATGATTATTTGCAACTATTACACTTCTCTTTTTAGGACACAATCACATGGACGTGGCAAGGGCCAGGAGCGTAAGTGGTTCTTATTGTTTGTATCACCATTGTTTTCCTTAAATAGTTTTATTTACATAAACTTGTACAAATACTAAGTCAAACAGGAATTACTGCTTACTGGACTATTATTTGCTTTTTTTTTTTTTTTCATCCCCAAGGATGAGAATACTCAAAGGAGTATTTGATATAAGCAGGGTATGCGTTTGCTATTATAGTATCGATGGTTTGTAGGATGAATTTGAGTTTTTATTAATTCCTTGAGACAAGGACCTGAGGTAAAATGAGTTGCTTCTGCTCTATTCCTGTGTATCAATTCAATATGTCGATATAAAATTTGTGGAGACAGTCATCCCAACTAGGGATCTGGGAAGAACTTTTTCCTGTATATTGCCCAATTGCAATTTTGATTTTATTTAAAATTAAATGTTATTCTAGAGGTACCTAAGTATATTTAATAAATTTGTGTAATGTAAATTGTAAGATATAGCCATTGATTAAAAAGAAAAAAAAATCCCTAGATAGTGGGGTGGTGAATTCCATCATTGATAGTTTCCCATTATCTGCATATTTAGGAGCTGTTGTTTTGAGTATCCTGCCTGAGTAGTGTAGTAGTAACGAGAGAGATGTTTGGATTGACCAACATAGCGGTAACTTAAAATTTGATAACCTGTGCCTTGAGATGGACTAGGAACCAGATTTGAGTAAGGACACATCAAGATGGGATACTTGAAAACTGCTAGTTGACTTTAAGGTGCACCTTTCAATTAAATCGCTTCATTAGGAGTAGCTGAATCTGTGACAGGGTCGAAGCTAAGAAAATGTTGCTGCATTATCTGTGCGCAAGGATTTGGGGTCTCTCCCTGCAAGTTACTCTGCCTTGGGCTGACACTCTGACTCTTCTAGCAAGCTATGTTGACTAGAGGTGGAGGTTAGCACTTCTTGCTGAGTGTCTTCCCTGAGGTGTCAGGAACTCCTAGGAGGAAGATTAAGAGGGAAGGAACATTTAGGGGTGTTGGCTTGGATCATGTAACCTTAATATGTTCAAAACGATAAGCTCATCCAGAACTGCTGACTGATATTAACAAATGAAGCCAAAAGACTGCTGAATCCAGTTCTGAAACGGCATGTGATGTTACACAAATTAACCCAGTAAGTTTAATTAATTCAACTCTTAATAGACATTCAAAAGGGTGAAAATTTGTCACGTAGAAGACATTTTCTGGAAAGTAACATTTTACTTGTTTGGCAGTATTGACAGCAAATAAATTCAGTCACTTTGAAAACAGATTCTTTGGCTAGAGCATACATCTTATTTTTTCTATACATAAGATTTAAGTTAGATACCGCTTGCTTTCTTTTTTTTTTCCAATTAATATTTATGATTTAATGTTAGCATGTTAAGAACATGTTAACATATGGAGGATTGTGAGGGGTGTGTTTATATGTGTCTGGTAGATACCTTTAGGATTAGAGAGCTGATGGGGAGCAACCCCAGCAACTTACTGGGCTTTTATGCTCTTGGAAGATGATGTACAAGATTTTTCATGTTTCCTGTCAGGCACTTAATCACAAAATAAGTGATTTTGTTTATTGTTGCCCCTTGTCTTTGCTTTAATTAATCGGGAGTTCAGCGTAAAGAAGACAAAAAATAATGCAGCAATAGAAAGAGTGACAGCACTTTATCTGTCTTAAGAGGATTTTGTCCAGCTCTCACCATATGCTCAATAAGCATGCAGTGCTTATCGAGCACTGTAACTACCTAGATGCTATATAAAATGTAGATACTGGTGTGGTGCTCTAGTTTAGGCTTCCAAAATCCTTTCCTGCATTTGAATCTTGCTGACTTCTAAGGTCATGTTGATTCTAGTATCTTGTATATCAGACTGCTAAAACACATGTATTATATTTCATTAGCACGCCTCTGAAGTATAATGAATTTTGATTCCAAACCAAGGCAATGATAAAACCTTAGTTATTATAACTAATCTTGCCACCCCTAGGTTGAATAAAGCATTCATTTTCCTAGAACAGATTTACTATTTATTTGCATACTGTGCATACCTCATTCATATCTTAGTATAAATATACTAGCACATGTGTTTTTTGCACTGTTTTTTTGCTCGCTTCCCTGGGTATCTTTTAGCATGTGACTTCATTGCAAAATACTTTTTTTCACTTTATAGAAAACGATGTGCAGAATTGTTCTTAGACCTTTTAATTTGACAACTGAATGTGAAATATGTACCGGCTGTAATGTTACTTGAAAACTTCTGAACAAAAGGTACTTTTGTCTCTATTCAAATTTGCTTTCTCTCCTTTCTTCCCCCCTTCCCTTTAGGTTAGAAATTCTGTGGCTTACTTTGTGTCAGCTTCACAATTCTGTGGAAATTGAGGTTAGTAGAAAAAATATCCCTATATTCTGGGCAGTATCAAAACACATAATACTATATTTAATTCTTTATAACTTTGTGTTCAATCTTTTTATGTTAACCTGATATTCTGTCAGAAAAGTTCTTCTCTCCTGATAAAACAGAGTATAATAATAATAATTTGATGCTTTTTCACTTTATTTCTGACTATAATGCTTTGTTTTTCTCTTGCTTCCCTTGTACCAGATTTTTTCAAGTAATGTTAAATGTTTGCTGACATGATAAATTCCTCTGGAAAGATCAGTGTGCCCTTTTTATCTCTAAAGCAAGGCTATAGTGTTTTTTCTCAAAGAATTATCTCCAAATATATATATATCGCTTTTTAATCAGTTAAAATGTGTGAGATCTAAGGGTGAGGGAAGTACTGCCTCACACAGGCCTGAGAGATGAGGCAAGCTAGCTGAACAGCAGGGTCTTTCCTCTAGCTTGAGAGCATGGCTTTCTGCCTTCTGCAAGTAGAGTGGGGACTCTCACCCAGAAGTGAGCGTCGCTCAGTGTTCTTGTGTTTGAAGCAGTAGCTCCTCTCTAGCTCATAGGGAGCTTGCACAAGGGCAAGTTTTAACTTTTTTTTTTAATCCCATAAAGTCAGCAGCTTTCTTAAACACCCTCTGTTCTAAAGCAGAAGGTGGGAGATAGTTGAGGAGCAAAGCGGTTGTGAGGCAGTGCAATGTGAGGCAGAGTAATGTGAGTAAGAGGTACATGATGAGTCTGAAATGGAAGAATGTGCTGTAGGTTTAGGACAGTGGAGGAAGAAGGAAGTGTTCTGTGCTCAGTCATGTTTGTTTTTGTGCTCAAAGTCATCTTTTTTTCCTGGTCTCTGAAGTTCATTGGCTCTTCTTCCTGTTTTCTTACATCAGCACAAGGTTATTGTCAAGTTCAGACTGTTCTTAATACCAGAGAAAATCAGCAGTTTAGGGAGATGTGCAGCAAGAAAATACAATTTTAGTGTGTTTCTGCCTAGGTAACAGGCAATAAGGTCTGACTGTGAAGCAAGCGGCATCTTAAGCTTGCTAGTCTGGGTTTTCTCTGCATATACATGATCTTGCATCCCATGCATGTCATCTGGGGTATGTATACATACAAGCATACATCCAAGTAGACTTTGTAATAGGTTAACATAAAGATTAGCTCCTCTGTTCTGTACCTCATGCAAGGTGTAACTTAAAGGTTATGTAGCTACCTATATGCCTGTACTTCTTTTGACTCCAAAGTCTCTCTTGCTGGCCCGTCAGCATCAGTATTCATCCATTCATCACAGCCTTCAGTAGCTGAGAGTTTCCCTTAGAGTTGTATTTTGTTGAACTGATCATGCTATTTCTGTCCAATTTGGCACAGATATTTGGGACACTCCTAAAATTAGGATTGCTTGTATTCATGTGCATATGGGTGAATGAATTGATCCTAGTTTGCTGTTCGGAGTAGGAAGAATGGAATTGGGCTCAGAATTTGAAGGAATAATCTTTCAATCTCTTAACTTCACAGTCTTTATTCTTCTGTACATTATATCGTGTTAGACTGTTTTTCTTATGCTAATGGCCATAGAGGAGAGAATTGGTGTTTCCTTCTTTCTTATATCTGAATAATTAATTCCTTGACTGAACTTACGGCTTTCGAGAGTTTTTATATGCGACTCTGGCAGTGATCAGAGAGTTTGCATGATAGTGTAATAAACACTTAGCTTCACAGTCAAGAGTCAGAAGGTCTTTTAACACAGACTGTCCCATTCTGAAAGCTGCCTTTTTTATTCTAGATCTCTATCAGCTGTGGCTTAATTTTGTGTGGTCATTTGTATTGGTTTAGAGTTTTTCTGTCAATTTAGGATTAAAATGAAATCTCCAATAAGAAAGAATTTGCAAAACCTCCAGCAACTGAAAATAAAATACTTCTGATGTGCACACTGAACAGTTTTATGATTTCACAATTTATAACATGAAGAATAAATACCTGATGTCCTGAGAACATCTGGATTCCAGAAATCCAAGATACAAAACAAAGCTCTTGAAACAAGTGCTTTTCTTGGTTATCTGAGCTGAACAGTGCAGAAACATACACAAGAGAAAGGTCAATGTAAGAAAATGCTAATACCTTTAAATAATTTAAGACTTTCTGATCCTATTTATGAAAGTAAAAATATGTTTGAGTCCATAAGGTAAGAAATGAGCACAGTCACTACTAAATGAATTTCCAGATGTATTGCTGATTTTTAAGTAGCTAAGACTTTGTGTTTTTTACTGTTTTGTAGTTCTCTTCATAGCATAACTTTGTAAATAGCAACTGGCTATATAAATATATCTTTTAATTGCAATGCTACAACACAGATTGTTTAAAATGTTCAGTGTTCTTGGTGTAATTCAGTTTTCTGTGTGCAGTTTCTACCTGTGTATATTCCTTCAGAGGAAGAAAGAAAAAATCCAGCATTATATGCCACTAATGTCAGACGTGTAATGGCAGAGTAAGTATGCTGTAGTATGGAACAAAAATAGATGCATGTTTTAATCATGAAATAAATGTCATGAAACTTTTAAATGTAGCTCCCTGCTTGTAAAGAAACTTATAGCCTGTAATAGTGTGTACAGAGTTTCTTACTTAGCAGTTTACTTCTTCAATGAGTTTACTTCTCTTACATGAGGAAGCCGGGGAGCCGCAAATACAGCAAGAGCTGTACTGCTTCCACTAATGCCACAATTCTTGTTTTTTTTTTACATTTTACATGTCTTAAACCAGTTCCTGTGCTGTTGTCGGTATTTTAAGTCCTCCAGAGAGAAAAAATACAGTTGAAACTGTATGAAAATTAATGCAATCTCGCTAGCACAAGCATCAGTTACATTTTTATCTGTAAGTTATTTTTGAAATCAAGAATAGCTTCATGTATTCATTAACCACCCGTGGTTATTTGAAATAGTAAAGCATAGGAAATGTAAGTTCAGTGAGAAGTTTCTCTTTTAGAAATTGAGCACTAGATCAATGTAAATACTAAATTGTCCTGACAGAAAATGAGGACATCAGCTCACTCTGTAGTGTTTTTATAGTGTATGTTAAGCTCAATATTAAATACACAGACCTTAATTCTCTTTTGTATTTTAAGTACCTTCTCTTGAATATAAGATATATGAAGCTGCTATTCATCTCATGTCAAGTTTTCCAATAGTCAACTCTGCAGATGTTCTTTTCAGTATGTATAGAAAACTCTCTGGTCACCAGTAGTTCATTCAAGATTTACAAATCTTCATACTCTTACAGAAGAACATATGAAATCATAATTTTCTCTTTATAACTTCTCTCTATTCTTAAGATACCAACTTCAGCTGAAGGCCAATTTATACAAAGAAACTGTAATTCCCTGTTTTACAAGCAGAACCCAAATCTGAGTTTGTTATGAGGGTTAGGCCTATAATAAATGGAACAATTTTTGATCTGTTGTACAGAAGTTCCCTTTCTCATGAAAGATCTGTGTGAATCATCTCATCTAAGAGTTGCAATGACGTTCAAGGTTTGTGTGGTTAATAGATGTTGTGTCAGTTAATTATGTTATAAACATTGTTATCAGACTTTGGGTAAAGGCTTTTTTTACAAAAACAACTCTCAACTCTCTACTCCAGTCAAAAGATGACAGAGTTGGTATAAGGATGAATTTTCAAACTCTGGAAGTTGGTGGCAAACTGCACGTTGAAAGACTTCCTTTGTACGTGTATACAGAGAAAAAGACATGATTTTTATTCTGCCCTTAACTTCTCCCTCTGATGTCACTGTCAGCCCCAAATGACTAATTCTTCCGAGAAGTGAGGTATCGATATAAAGGAAGAATTGTCAGAATGGAGGATAGCAAGTGTCGCTTAATTTGAGATGGAGGAAGGGATCTGGGCACTGCTGATGTGAAAGGAAAATGTGTTTGGATATCAAAGTTTGAGTTAAAATGCAGAAAGAAATTAGAACATTGAGTATTGAATACTGTGTATTATTTTGGGCCAGTTAAAATAACATCAGCATTGGCAAAATATTGCTTCCTAGTTTCATTAAAGTAATTACACATGACGATAACTTTGCAGAAATTGTGAGTGCCTGTTCTGCTGACCACTTCCCAGTGCTTGCTTGGTGACAGCTCTCAGAATCCTCACAGTGCTTTTACAAAGTTTTTTGTGTAGCACGTATCAACTTAGATGTTGTCAATCTGCTCTGGAGTTGCAGTTGTTGCAGCTTTAGCATCTCCAGTGCTCTTAGGTGCTATCATTGCACCCATTAAAATCACACATTGCTAAATAAAAAACAGTCTTACTGTTCCATCAGGATGTGTCTCCTTTTCTTCAAGGTTGGATCACTGACTGGGTACCATCCTGATGTCAGGAGGTCACTTGAGGATCTGTTTAATGGCAGTCTTTTTCCCATCCCTGTATTTTTCTGGAAGAAGAGTCTAACCTTACTGGATGTTGTACAGTAGCTGGGGTAGTAGTCCCAAATAATAACACATTTGAGTCCCAGACAAGTGTTGTGGCAAAACCTTGTGCCTTGTCCCTGATTTCTAGAACTGCTGTAACTCGCTGAGTGCAGTGATAGGTGTAATTTCCACCTCTGATTTTTTTTTTTCTTCATTGTAGTTTTGTTTGGTGAAACAACCTCTGCTAACTCTGCTCTGTTGAACAAAGCACTTGACATGATATCTGATTAAGCACTGGGCAAAAAAATGAGAACCGTATGTGACCTTGTTACCACACTCTGCTCACTGTTCCTCTTGTTTGGGGGACTATCTTTGAAACCAAAAATGTCTGGAATTATTCATGCAGACTACCCACAGCTTCTACATAGTTACTGTGCTGCCTTATTGTGGGTCACGTTCTTGCCCTACCCAAAGAGTACGTGCAGACTAGATTAATCCACAGCTTAATAGGAAACTAGGTGGAGGTATTTTTATGATTCGCGTTTGATTTTTATTCCAACTTTTTTGTTTGAGAGAATGATTGTGTCTTCAATTTCTTTGGCCTTTTCTGCTTGTTACTCCCTGTGTTCAGTCTCTATCTCGTCCATGCACTGTCACCAGGTTTAGGGTTGCTTCCAGTTCAATGCCAAGAGTATCAAATACAGCATTGGTCCATGCAGGGGTTCTCTTTACAAATAAATAAACGTGGTTATATCTTGTGTTTTAAAACACTTCTTGTTCTTTAGTATGCTAATGCAATTCTCATACTATCATTCTAATAAATCATGCTATATAAATGTGAGATACTCATCTTACATTTTGGTGAATATTAATTATAATCCTAAAATTGCCCTTTTGGACTTCATCCGTATGAGCTGTTATTTTTTCCTGTCATTGGTGGTACTTCATGTGCTTGAACTGTAACTGTTAATTTATTTACTTTGTGTTTTTTGTATTTCCTAGATGAATATCAGTCTTTATTCTGTATCTGTATCATCAAAGCATTAGCTCCTTGTGTTTTACTGGAACTGCAGTAGTGTTGTAAAACTATCAGTGTGCAGGCTTGAGACTTCAACCATCTCTTCTAGCATTTTTAGGAACAAATCAGCTGGCCTTGCCCTTACAAGTACCTGTTCCTAAAATTGCTTTAGCGATAAAGGAGTTATCACTACAGCTGTTAAAGCTCTGGAGAATACTCATTTTCTTTATATGTTAGCTCATCTTAACTGTTTCCTAATACAGAGCAAAATATTTATTAAATGTGCTGCTTTTTCTGCCCCTTGTCAATTTTCTCTTCTCAGTTTCCTGTCTCATGGCTTACTGTTCCTAGCACTATGCTCTAAAGAAAAATAAAATCTTCTAGCTGAATTGATTGCAGCTCTTTCTGTTTTTAGTCTTATATCCTGTTTTTTTTTAATGCATGATAATTTTAAACTTGTTATCCATTTAAAATTCATCCCTCCTTCCTCTCTTCCCCTCATCCTGTTCCCCTTCCTTACCTCCTCTCCTCCTCTTCCCCCCTCCCCCTCAAAAAAGTTACCTCTCTCAGTTGTGGGATTTCAGCCTTTTTTCACTTCATTAATTACGCACTAGGAACTGCAGACATTTCTTAATATAGAAATATTATTTTTTGCTTTAATTTGTTAGTCTATTCGAGGGAATTTATCTTCAAATAAGAATTTGCTTAAACCAGTATAATTGGGAAAAAAGGCAAGAAACTTGTTTATTTTTTTATGCATTGTGGAAGATATTTAAACAGAGTGAAACTAGACACCTTTGCTCTTTTTTCTAAGTGGTAAATACCTTGGAACTGAACTCCTAGCAGCATTTCTGATCTGAGCACTGCATTTTTTTTATCTTATTGTTGAAACTCAGCCATATAACTGTATACATAATTAACCAATAATTTTTGTGACAAAATCTTCTGTAATAAACTCACAAATGCAGACTTACTATATAGATATCAAAGCTGTATATTCTAGTCTGCTTTTTGCACATAAATTTGTCTTCCTCCTCAATTTAGAACCTTGAATATGTACTGAGTTGTTCAGCCAGCTAAGTGGACAGTGTGCTTGAAATGAAACTTGTAAACAGATGTTTTCTTAATGTGTACTCTAGCAAGTTCTTACATACACTGTTAAAGCAGGGGCTCTTTATCAGCTTTATATACAAGGGCTGCATTTTTACTGTTTGGAGAGATAGTTAATTTTTTCTTTTTTTTTTTTCTTCCTTTTTTTTTTTTCTCCTAGTATGCTGATGATGGCTAAAGATACCACATAGTCTCTTATGTTTGTTTCAGTTTGTATCTTTGTGTGCTGTGTGGTGTCAGTTAGGCTGTAGTCTTTCCCAGCGTTAGTATGTGATAGCTGCTAGTGCATATAATACTAATTCTGTCGATCTCTGGAAAATAACTTCAGGTTTGTGTGTTTTATAGTAGCATGTTGGCAAATGTTTTTTTCCTCTCCCTTCTCTGGCCATTTAAACATGTTTGGAAATGCTGCTGTGCTTGTGCGGCCTGTGGGTCTGTGATTGCGCAGAAGCGCTGATTGGATGTCCAGTACTCAACTTTGAAGTTCAAGACCATTCGTGTCATTTTATAGCATCAAAGGCATGGAGAGCACTTTGAGTGCAGTTATGGAAGCACTTAGGTTAACAACCATCTGTTTGTTTAGGTTTCTTGCAACGTGCAGAGATAGAAAAGGCAACTGCACTGTGCCCTTTTTTGTTTAAATTTCCATTCTGTGAATGCAGTAAGTGTAGCAATTAAGCAAACAATTGTTGAGCCAGGTCGGTTCTGTGCCTCTTCTTCCTAGGTTATTTTCTTGTTAAGGAGATTTTATTTTATATTTTATTTTATTTTATTTTATTTTATTTTATTTTTTTGAACACACTTCAGTAATATTTTTTTGCCACCATCTGGTTGGAGCTGGATTTTCAAGTGTTGAGAAGACTGAGAAGGTGTCTTAGCTTTTACCCTTCCAAAGTTAGTGATCTGCAGGCCTGCAAGCTCTTATCTGTGCCAAAATTACAGTTGGAATCCCCTTTCCATAATGCAAGGGATAAAGGCCAGTAGTCAGTGGTGGCAGCATCCTGGCTTTGAAGTTCAGTAGTTTTGTAAGTAGTTCTATAGAAACTACACTGAACACTGACTTTGCTGAGAAATTGAGACTCTTAGACCATTGAGAGACTGAATGAGGGAATAAATAAGGTGTTTTTTATTGTTTTTGTTTGTTTGTCTTGCTGCCAAGATGAAATCCATCTGTTTCCAGTGGTAGCCCTATATAGCTTGTAATTTGTCTTGTGAACTCGAGCTCTTTGAACTCTAATCTCCTCTGACCTTGCTTGATCCTATAGCTGAATTGCGCTGTCTGCTGTGAGGAAAAGTTGTTTCCTCCTCCCTTCCTGCCCCCTACGCCCTTTTTATATATATATTTTTTTAAACTTACTGTTGTATGGTTCTGAAAGTCTGTCTGAATACATACACAAACTATTCTGGTTCACTTTGCTTCTGGGTGCAATTTTTCCAGCCTCTGGACTTCCAATTAATGGGCAAGGGAATATGCTTATCTCCTTCTAGTGCTTGCCAGTGTATGTGTTGACACTGGGCATATATTAGTAGATGCTTTGCTATGTGGATAGCACTACAATTATTAGCTTGACCCAAATACTGTTCTTTCTGCAATGGGTGCCTACAGCTATGAAAAAAGGATATCATTCCTTGTATATTTTTTTGAGTTTCAGATGATCACTGCTTCTGGAATTTAGTCTGCATAACAGCTTTTTCTTCCTCTTTGGCAAGGCTCCTGCAACATGTTGGGGCCCATTATTTAGGAGAGGCTTTTAAATCAAGTGTTGGTTTTCAAACGCTTGTTGGTCAAGCCTCTAACCTCCTCCAGTTTAAGTGGCTTAATTTTTCCTATTCATCTTTCTCCAGATGTATTTGAAAGGCTTCTAGAATTTATTTTTAACAAAATATTGTTTCTTGCTGAAGCTTGTGTCTCTGGCTATATTTTAACTTGTTGGTTCCTTAATATTTTATTTCTATTTTCTTTGACAGAACATGCTTTCGAAAATTAAGCCTTGTCCTTTTGATTGCTACCTTTAACCTGTTGCTGAGTCACACGGGAAGTATTTGTCCTCACAAAATCTTTTCTGACAAGTGACTCTTCATCCTGATTCTCTAATATGATATGTTAGCTCACGCTACAAATGAACACTTTACCATTTTTAGTTTCGTCTTTTAATATATTTTTAACTAGCTTCCTCTTTTCTGCGTAGTTCCCCTATGCTTCTGCTCATCTACTGTAAGTTTCCATGTTTCTGATACCTGATGTACAAACCATTTCTCTAAGATTTGATGCGATTTATGTCCAATTGCATGAGATATTTGATTGGTATCATATCCTTTTATGGGAGCCCCTCTGGGTCATAGTGCTCGTGG